CTGGAACAAATGGTGATTCCTTTCCAAGTTTTGTGACGAATCTCCATACTGCTTTCCAGAATGTTTGCACCAATTTGCAGTCAGACCACCAATGTATGAGTGTACCTTTTTTCCCCACAACCTTGGCAACATTTATTATAATTTCTATTGTAACTGGCTAATTTACATTGTAACTGGGTTCTAATTTCCATTGTAACTGATGGAATCTCAATGTAGTTTTAATTTCCTTTCTCTAACTGTTAGAGATGTTGAACATTTTTTCATAATATTGACACTTCCAGATCCAAAGTTAGGCAACAACTGTCATTCTAGGCCCTAGAAACTTCCATACTTAGGAACATAACTCACCTCATAGTAGGTTATACTTTTTATCTCCAGCACAATTTGTAATTAAATACAGACCAGAATTAATCAGTTATATTTATTTCTGGGATAAGATATATTGTGCATATTGTGGAATCTAATAGTTGTTACTTTTATAAAGTAATAATATATAGATTAAAAATATAATTTAAATTTTCTGATGAATGGATTATTTTAAAATAAGTTTTACTTAAAATGTGTGCATTAGAAAGTCATTCAAATTTTTAAACGTTTAATATATTAAATTTTAATCATTATTTTTTCCTTTCATCCTTCATTCTTTCCTCTACCTGTTAGGAATAGACAGCGTCAGCCCCTTTGTGAATTTCCATAGTTTTAATGAAAATTCACTTCTTCGAATTCACATACAACTATGTGAAGTACATGACTGTTGATGTTCTTCAGATTCTTTGTTTCTAAAGGACAAGCTCCAGTTGCCCTTCAATTCAGAAAAAGTCAGAACAAAAAAATATCATCTCTCCTGCAGATCAGAAAGTTTAATTCTTCTCTTCTTCATAAGTTTAGCCAAATCCACCAGCACATACAGAGTTTTTTTTTTTGATCATCCTCTTCTCTAATTTTATCTCCATACATGAACCCAGATATTTGAACTCTTTATGTCAAGCAACATGAAACAAATTATATAAAATGACCAATGTTTCAGAAACAAAATTGCAGATAGAAAATAAGTAAATAATAGTGGAACTTCAAATTGTTGCAACCACTCTGGAAAGACATATGGAGTTCCGAAGAAAACTTGGAATGGAATTGAGTGGAACTGCTCATCATGTTCAACCACAAGAAAGGTATCAAAACTGAAATGGATCACAACCAATGAATATATAATATGTTAAAAATACTCTCATGCCATGCATATCTAAGCAACAAATAAAAATATAAAGTGAGCACATGAAATAATACTAAATATCATTTATCCTTAGACTGTGCATATTAAAGTAGCAATGAAAGTTGTTATACATTTATTGAATGGTTTGAATATTCCACAAAGGCAATGAAGTGATAATAAACATATACAGAAACAGTATGTTCACTGTGAATCCAGGTGCCTGAAAGTCATGTGGAAATCAAAAAGAATGATGACTTATGCTCGGCTAGCATGAGCTCACCCATTCAATAAAGCCAATCTGTGGATTACTGTCTAGATGCATGAATACACTGGTTATTCATAAGAAGAATAAACACGTTAGTGAGGATATTAGTCTATCATTATAATCCCTTTCTTCATTAATTTAAACAAAAGTGCAGGTCTAAGATTACTGACCAGAAGCATTTTAAATATAGATTATTCTTTCAACCAGACTTGATATTAAGATAAAAGCAAAATAAACCAATTTTATTGTTATGGTCTAAGGCTTTGGAATATTGAAATATGAAATCAAGTTTGAAAAAAATCTTATACAGGGCAAGACAACTTCTTAT